AAGGGGCCTACCCCTTATCCTGAGATTATGTCCTCTGGAGTCACCAGCCTGGGGAAGCATCCTATCAATATTCACCCTGTCATGCCCTGTAAGAATTTTGTAAATTTCAATGATACGACATATTCTTTGAAACTTTGTGGAATGCAGACCCAGTTTCTTCAATCTTACCTCAAATGATTTCTGCCATTTCAGAGATTAATTTTGAGAATCTCTATTGCACTCTGCAGCAAGTATAACCTTCTTTAGATATAACGGTCACATCTATTTATAGCTTTTTCAGGTGAACTCTCACCAAGACCATAACAAAACCCTTCTTCTGTACTCAAATATCCTTGAAATGAATGCCACCATTTGTCTTCATAATCGTTTGCTGCACCTGCATATCAGTTTTTAAATGACCCACGAATAAGGATACCAACATCGGTCTGGATATCGACACTTCCCAATCTCACTTTTTAAAAAAAAAGTTGTCTTTATGTTTCCTGCCTGCTATCTCAAGATGATTCTTTTATTCAACCTCTGTTTTATGTCTATTAACAAATTCTCAATTCATACTATACATTTCCCCCAAACCCATGCACATAATTTTATTTACTAACCTCCTGTATAGGTTCTTGTTCTACGGGTTCAGATGGAATTGATTGTTACCAGAAAGTAAAAGGAAGGGACAGAATGTGGAAATGTCATATTGTACCGAAGAACCATAAAACTGTAGAGAAATTCAATAATGAAACAAATTTGAAGGTTTTGTATCTTGATGTATAAAGTATTTGGTATAAGGTAGACGAACTGATGCCACAAATCAAGGTAAAGGAATAGGATTTCATAGCTATAACAGAAACATAGTTACAAAGAGATCAAAACTGGGAACTTAACATTCAGGGATATTTGATCTTTCAGAGAGGGAGGAGGGATGGAAAATGTGATGGGGTAGTACTGTTCATAAGAAATAAAATGAGGACAGTTTTGAGAAAAAGCTTAGACGATATACAGTCCATTTCGTTGGAGGTTGAAAAAAAGCAAGGGAAGGAAGACATTGGGAGTAACGTACAGACCTCCAAATAGTAGTTACTCTGTGGGAAAGGCTATAAATTAACAGGTAATAACAGCAAGTAAAAAGAATGTAGCAATGATTATAGGTGACTTTAATCTTCATGTTGATTGGGTTAATCAAATTGGAGAAGGTAGCTATGACAACAAATTCATAGACTGTATTTGGGATAGTTTCCTAGAGCAAGGTGTCATAAAGGCAGAGAGCAGGCTACTTTGGATCTGATAATGGGTAATGAGGCAGGTTTAATAAATGACCTCGGAGTAAAGGATCCCCTAGGAAGTAGCGATTATAACATGAAAGAACTTAATATTCATTTAGAGTGAGAGAAAAAATGGTTCAGAAGCAATAACTAAAGGGAATTACAATTAAAATAGAGATAGCTAAAGTAAACTTTGTGGATAGATTAGCAGGAATGACAAGCAAACAAGCAGTGGCAGACACTTAGCAGGTAATTCATTACTCTCTGCAAAATACATCCCAGTAAGGAGGAAAGATTCTAAGAGAGGGATAAACTAACCACAGCTAACCAAGGAAGTTATAGACAATATTAAGTTGAAAGAAAAACCATTTAAGGATGCCAAAGTCAGTGACAGACCCAATGAGTGTGATAAAATCAGAATCCAAAGGAGGGCTAAGATGATAGAAAATAAACTATGAGGGCAAACTAGCAGGGAATATAAAAACTGACAATGAGTTTCTTTAAATGTATAAAAAGGAAGAGAGAGGTCAAAGTGTACATTGGCCCCTTGAAATAAATCTGGGGAGACTTTTTTTTGGAAAAAGGAAACAGCAGAGGAATTAACAAGATGTTTCATATCAATCTTTACAGTGGAAGATACTTCAAACATTCCATTAATACTAAAGAATCTGGGGTTGGAATTAAGTACCAAAGTAGAAGCAAAGGCAAACTAATGGGGCTAAAGGCAGATGAGTCGCCTGGCCCTAATGGCTTGCATCCTAGGATCCTAAAAGAGATAGCTACAGAGATAGTAGTTGCATTGCTTCCAGTTTGCCAAAAATGGTTGGATTCTGGAGAAGCAGCAGAGGATTGGAAAACTGCTAATGTGACACCTCAATGACCCTAACCCTAAAGGTTTCTATAGGTATGTCAGGAATAAAAGAATGACTGGAGTAAGATTGGGGCCGGTCAAGGACAGCAGTGGGAAGTTGTGCGTGGAGTCCGAAGAGATAGGAGAGGTGCTAAATGAATATTTTTCATCAGTATTCACGCAGGAAAAAGACAATGTAGTCGAGGAGAATACTGAGATACAGTCTATTAGACTAGACGGGATTGAGGTTCATAAGGAGGAGGTGTCAGCAATTCTGGAAGGTGTGAAAATAGATAAGTCCCCTGGGCCGGATGGAATTTATCCTAGGATTCTCTGGGAAGCTAGAGAGGAGATTGCAGAGCCTTTGGCTTTGATCTTTATGTCGTCATTGTCTTCAGGAATAGTGCCAGAAGACTGGAGACTAGCAAATGTTGTCCCCTTGTTCAAGAAGGGGAGTAGAGACAACCCTGGTAATTATAGACCAGTGAGCCTTACTTCGGTTGTGGGTAAAGTGTT